ATGCCATATGCTTGAATGCTATTTACAGTTTTGAACTGTCTTGTACCCATTGCTTTTCATAGTCATGTTGAGACTTTGAGGCGATGCCATGGAATTTTTACATCAATTATTCCTTGGGCAGTACTTGAAATTGAGAGCTCTACAACGGCAATCATATACTCATTACTTTTATGAAGCTACGGTTGGTGCTGGTCTCCCAATTGTTAGCACTCTACGAGGTCTTCTCGAAACTGGAGATAAGATTCTCCGTATTGAAGGCATATTTAGGTATGTTCATCTTGGACTTTCTTTTTTATATTTGCAGTTCAGGGCCTTCAGGATATTGCACGTGGAGCAAGGTATTGAATGCATGCTTGTGCGTGCAGTGTATCCTTTCCGAGTTGTTAAATTCTTCTTATGCTGTTGCAGTGGTACATTGAGCTATATATTCAACAACTTCATTGGCGAGCGATCGTTCAGTGAGGTGGTAGCAGAGGCAAAACAGGCAGGTTATACAGAGCCAGACCCAAGAGATGATCTCTCTGGGACAGATGTTCAAAGAAAGGTATGTCCTATTTTGAATATGTGAAGATGCTTTAAATAACTGCAGTTCAGAGGATTATTACTTACTAGGAGAGTGTTTATACGTTAGAGCAGTAGTATCTTTCAGGGTGATTTTCAAAAATCTTAAACCTCATATGAAAGTATGGTGCCCAATGGACACGCAGCGTGTTGTTGAGGAGAGGGGGAACAAACTTACATCCTCTGTTTGTCAAGATGTTTTTGTGTGATCTTCAATGGCTTGTTTCCATTTAAATGTGTTTTCCGAAGAGAGTTTTCTTCATAGGGAGACAGCTTTCTAAACTAATGGATCTGCAGAGCATCTGGACTGTAATTTACCTTTGTCTTTCAACGATTCCTTTAAGGACCTAAAAACATGCACTGCCTCAGCACTCTTGTCTGATAAATTGGTTACTTACGTAATTCCTTTCAGAGTAGGTGTGCATGACAAAAGACTGATGCCCTTACTGTCACATGTGAATTCTTATGTTCTGGTGGATATCTTATTTGTTGTGATGGTTTTGTATGAAGTAGCCTTTTTTCTTTACTTTCTCCCGAAGTTTTCTGGATTCTTGATATAATATTGAATATAATTCTTTAGCCCATGGACTTTGATTTGTTTTCATCGATTCATACATGAAAACCTTAAGTTCCTCTTCCAATATCGATGCATCTCACACAGTCTCGACAATTCAGGTGATTATTCTTGCTAGAGAATCTGGTCTGAAGCTGGAACTTTCTGATATCCCTGTGGACAATCTTGTTCCAGAACCATTAAGAGTGAGAATTCAGTTTTCCCCAATTATAGATCTAACAGTTGAATTATTGGGAATATACTTTATGATGCATTTATCTGATTATGCTACGTAGACTAGTGCATCAGCTGAGGAGTTTATGGAGAAGCTACCGCAATTTGATCAAGAATGGACTAACAAGCAACAGGAAGCCGAGGCTGCTGGCAAAGTGAGTATATAAACTCATAATACTACTTAGATTATATCCAATAGTTGCCTTCTGGTGTTAGTACTTCAATGAAACCTCTAATTTCACTAAAGTCAGATGAGATTATCTTGTGATGAAGTTCATCTGTATGTAGTTGGAAGCATACTAAAATCAGGTGTATGAAATCTAAGTGCAGTGTTATTTTGATCTTCCATTTGATGTACTACTACGGCAAGAAACTGCACTAGCTATAGCCACTGCTTCCAAGGAGTTTGGGGTGTTAATGACCCCCTTCTCCTAACTTCATAGCTTCATTGAACTTCTCTTCTTTGGTGGGTATGGTGGAGTCCATAATTATCTGTATACATCCTATCGGTGCATGTAGAATTCGTCTTTGAAATTCCGTCTGCTTTTTTAGCATGCCATAGTCAACTTTTCTCCTATTCTTCCTCTATGATGAAACATGTCCCATTTGCAGGTACTGAGATATGTGGGTGTAGTGGATTTGTTGAATCATAGAGGGGCGGTGGAGCTGCGGACATACAAGAAGGATGATGCATTCGCTCAACTTTCAGGCACCGACAACATAATTGCTTTCACCACTACAAGGTATAGTAAGCAGCCTTTGATAGTCCGTGGGCCAGGTGCCGGGGCTCAGGTCACTGCTGGTGGCATATTCAGCGACATACTTCGGCTCGCCTCTTATCTCGGTGCCCCATCTTAGCTGAGTGATATAGTGCCTAAAGAAAGTCTCCTCCTCTCAAGCGTGTTGATGTTCTTCCAACCTTGGGTGACACGATTTTTCTGTTACTTCGGTTAAGATACATTGTGTTGCTTTCTTTTGCTACTTTTGGCCGTCCTATGTGGTTTTCAGTGATACTGCGTTGGATGGGTTAAACTTCTGCTGGTCCCTTGAACATGCCGGATTTGGTGATTAGTAGCTGCTTAAGTTGACATTTTCATGTGTCGGGGTAAGAATCTTACTGCAGCAGACAGGTAGAGTCGGGCCAGAATGGGAGCAATGCGAGATGGAAGTGTAATTCGTCTCGGGGTCTAATTTATTAGGTTATGGCGTAGTGCTGAAGTTTGTTAGTGCTGTAACTGAGACACATTCTTCTTGACTTCTGCATTTGTGAGTTTAGAGAAGGAATAAAGAATAATGAATAAATGCAATTGAATAAGAATCGAAGTAATGAGTTTCACTCTTATGTCTAGTCATTCCAGAAGAACTACGAAGGGGAAGTTCACTCTAAGAAAGTGTTTCCTACTTGGGAAGGCAACTATTCTTCATGCTGCTTTGCAATATTATTTGCGATGGAGAAAATCTAGATCTTACAAAAAAGACAGAAGCTTAGGGTGTATTTGTTTGAGCGGAAGAATTTTCTGCGATTTAGTATTCTAAACTCTTATGCATCTGGTTTGCCGAAACTGATCAGTCAATGGAAAATCATTTACGGTCAAAGAAAATGTGCATGCTTGAAGTTAGAAAAATAGATTTCCTAACCCGATAAGAAGAAAGCTTTTTCCTGAAAGACGATTTGGTAAGTTTTTTTCGGTAACAAACACACCCTTATATTCTGAATTGGGGACATTGGAGATAAAAGTTCTAAACAAAAGGGTTCATATACATGGCAATTGAAAGAGGATCTCAAAAAAGAAAAGGCTTTAAATCGTGGAGTTTCAATGGCCTTGTCAATTGACAACCTCAATGTTCTACATTATAATTTTTAACGCTCAGGCAACTCACATGCATATTTGCTAGCCAGAAAAGGAAGAAAGAGGTAGAAGACATGTACCATCGGGCTTGAGCCTAGTCAATAATCGTCGAGGTTCATCGCACCATCTTCGTCGACGAGGTATTGCAACATGAGCTATTGTGATGGCGACCACGTCGCGAGTTCGATTGCCCTTGTCCGCGAGTCCTGCCGTTTCCTCATGGCGCACCTGTTTGGGACAACGCCCGCGGCTTAATCGAGCCACGGGCTAACAGGGTGTTCATGGATTCCGGGGAATTAGCCCAAGGCGAAACTCGAATCGCTCCGTCGGGAAAGGAAATGAACTAAGGCGCCACAAAAGTGGAGGAAAAACAAGATCATGGGAGGATCAATTTATAGGACTCGACCTTACATTAAAAACAAACGATTAACTTTTGTCATACGCGCAAAATGCGAACGGCGACCGTTGTAACTTAGTAGGGGGTCGTCCCTACATTAGGCATCGTACCATGTAATTCATCCAAAACTCGAAAAATTCGAGATTTAAAGCTTATCAATATAACTCCGTTGATGTGGCGGTCTAGTCCTAAGAGGTAGCAAATGTCCAAGTCATAAGTTGAGCGGAGGTGAGTTCTCGACAGCTACTAGAACTTGTAGTTTCATGAAAGATAGGCGACTCTTATATGATTTTTCTTTTTTTGGTCTTACTTCTCTCTCCTATGTACAAGTGTGTGCATTGCTCACGGAGATCAAATCTCGGACCTAATGCTTTTCAGTCCCACCCCTAATCCCCTTACTAGCAGGGCCGCATGCCTGTTATTGACTCTTGTATGATTTTTTTTTGGGGTCGAACGACTTTTACATGATTTAGGGTGCGAATGATAACCATTCTGTTTCCCTGTTTTTCTAATTTTTTTTATCCGGAGAATAGGTTTGGAATAGAAATTTATTTGGTAAAATAATATAAATTTTCTATTTCCGAGACATATTTTTAGGTTTGTAACATAAATGGCCACGCCGTCTGTTGTTCGCCGCCCGTCTATTGTCGCCGCCTGCCGGCTGTCTGTCGCTGCTGCTCGTCGGTCGTCCACTTGCTAGTTGTCCGTCGCTGCCGCCCGCTAGCTGTCTACTCGCTTGCCGCTTCCACTTGCCGGTTGGCCGCCGGAAATAGAAATTTAAGAATAACCAATCAAACGAATCAAACGAATTTCTATTCCATGCACAAAAATTTGTGTCGCTCAAAAATTCATCCGGGGAATAGATCAGAAATAGGGTCGGGGAAGAGAAATTTTATCATTCGCGCTCTTAGCTACCGGAGTAAATTGAAAAGACAGATTTTGTTTGTGATAATGATACAAACAGTCTTTTTACTTTGGCTTAATATGCAATTTAGTCCTTGAACTTTTAATTTGTTCAATATAGTCCCTGAAATTTAGCCTAATATTCAATGTAGTCCACGAAATTTTTAATTTGTTGATGTAATCCACGACTTTTAATTTTTGATGTGGTTCGCGTATTGATTTAGTCATGAACTATATGAAAATGTTCAATGTAGATTAAAAGTTCAGGGACTATATTGAATATTAGGCTAAAGTTCAGAGATTACATTGAACAAATTAAAAGTTCAAGAATCAAATTGTACATTATGCCAAAGCTCAGAGATTATTTGTTTCGTTTTCTGGGGAGAAAAAAGAATATTCCGCGCAGTTACACGTGGTGCCATCGCGAGGCAGAAGAAGAAGCAGGGACACACTCCGCCTTATCGCCCCCATGGCTCCACCCTGACCAGAAGAAACTCCACGAAACCACAGCCAATATACAGATTCATCCATGGCATTCTCATTCTGATATCTCTCTCTCTCTCTCCATACGAGGTAGATGTCACTTGTGGCCTCCTCGCTCTCAAGCCTAAGATGCACTCTCTCCGGCTGAGACCCCCGCTACCACCCTCTTCTTCGTCGCCGCCGCCGCCGCCGCCGCCGCTGTCGCCGTCGTCATCGTCGTCATATCTCGTGTACAACCTCCATTTCGCGTCCCCGCCTTGCTCCTTCCTCTTCAGCTTCAGACCCAACAAGCGCTTCCACTTCCTCAAGCCATGCTCGTCCCTCAAGCAGACCAAGAAGCGGCAGTCGCTCCAGAAGACGAGCGCCCCGCAGAGCCTCAAGTGGTTCTTCGGCCCCAAGGGCGACGGGGACGACGAGAAGAAGCCGCCGCAGCAGCTCCAGGGAGAGGGAGAGGGCGAGGGCGAGGGCGGCGGCGCGTTGGAAGGTGACGCGGCGGTGAAGGGGACCATCTTGGCCGGCGTGTTGCTGGTGGGCGTGGTGGGCGGGTTCGGCACCGTTGGGTACGTGTACAGGGACCAGATCAACGCCTTCTTGACCCAGTTCTCTACCTTCATTGACGGTAATGATGCGAGTCTAATTTAATTGCTGCTTCTCTTGTCATCCGTGTGTGTGTGTGTGAGGTAGAGACGGGTTTCTGTCTGAATCTTGTTGCTCTCAATTTCTTGTGATTGCTTGTTAAAGTTGAAATTTTTGAGGACCCCATTGTTGATATCTTGCGATTGGTAGTGGGGATGGGCATTCAATCAAGGCATTGATGATTGTTGTCATGAAAGAAGCAGTATTGCTGTGCGTGGCATTTGGGCACTGCGAAATGAATCAGTATTACCTCTGATTATATGGAGAAAAGCCGAGGTTTTGTGCCTGAATGTGGTCATTTTGGACAGTAGTGCTGTGGCCCGAGGTCAATGTCGATAATCATAGTGAAAGGAATATTTGATTGGCAAGAGAACAAGGGAGTTTTAGTCCTCTTCAGAGTTCATAGTTGAACCTTTTTTTTTATTTTTTAAATGTGTGTCAAAAAATCGAAACTAAGATTGTTTCCAGCCAAAAGTTAATACGCACAAAATCTTTCTAATTCAATCCAATGGTCTCCTGTTTCTCTCCCTCTTAAGCATTTAAGTTGCTCTTCTCATTCTGCCACAACTTAGCTTAATCCCCTAATTAGAAGATCACAGTCCATGGGGTCCACTGTGTCGACTAATGCTTTGGGGGAGAATGAACATAGTTACGAAAGTTTCCTCCTTATGCGAGTTATTAACGGTCGATGTGCTTGTCTAGGAAGCCTGCATTTATCAGGAAGCTTTTGCATAGTAGACAAAGGCATCTCACTCTCAACCAGTTTATGCTTATATTGAATATTCAATTTTATCAAAGTGCCTGTTTAATGAAGTTAGACGTCCCTTTTTCGTTCTAATGAAGATGTTACTTTGTAGTCGTGCCTTTTAAGTTACTCAGGCTTTTTCAAAACAATCTGATCAGCAACAAGGTCGTGCCAAGTTATTGTCTCCCTCTTTGCGGCAGCTCTTCCTGCATAAGCAGTGGAAGCGCCACCACTTCAGATCCAATGCAGGAAATTTCATTGTTCTAAGTTTTCTAGCAAATCCCTTTTTCAAATACCTCAGGCTCACACGCACCCATACCTGTCATAACATGTCATAGTTCACATTTTACTTTGTTGGTTCACAGGTTCAGACTTGTGAGTTGGTATATTGTGAACACATTTATCTAATTATTGTAGACTTTTAATTCTAGGAGCACTATGGGGGGAAGTAGCGGCACTTATCTTGTTTTATAACCTTATATTCACGTTCACCTTTTACAGTGTGTGGAAGTAGAATTAGTGATTTCATTCATGTCATCCAACTTATTTCTTTTCATATCTTTTCACCTGTTTTTTTTTTCCTGGCTAACATTTTTATTTCAAACTGTTTCTTCTCATTTACAGGTTATGGCCCAGCAGGATATGCTCTATTTGTAGCTGTTTATGCTGGTCTAGAAGTAAAAATTCTATTCTCCGACTTGATCATTGCAACGCGACTCCTATACTTTCCGCCTTTTCATCTAAATGTTTTTTATTTCCTGTTAGAATGTTTCAGAAATTTAAATGTAACCTCCTTTACTTTCCTAAGCATGCATGCTATTCTTTGTTAAAGCAGAGAGTGGGTTTGGGTTTGTTGGTCTGAGCCACCACATCTCTCGAACTTGTCATGGCATGATACCTTTCGTTTCTTGGCTTTTCGCTATGTTTTTCTACTAGCTGTTTTTATGATTTCCGAATCTTCATGGAACCCGTCGGTAACTGGTTCATCTCAATGTAGATCCTTGCAATCCCCGCAATCCCTTTAACAATGTCAGCTGGACTTCTTTTCGGTTCCGTAATTGGCACAATCATTGTCTCCATCAGTGGAACGGTGAGTTCTGGATTCCAGAGCATGCTAATTGGTATAGTAGACATTCACTGTTAACCATGTTCTTATTCTGCCTCTTTCAGGTGGCTGCAAGTGTTGCTTTTCTCATTGCCAGATATTTTGCTAGGGAGCGAATTCTTAAGTTAGTTGAAGGAAATAAGAAATTTCTTGCAATTGACAGAGCTATTGGGGAAAATGGCTTCAGAGTCGTTACCCTTCTGCGTCTGAGCCCTTTGCTTCCATTTTCTCTTGGGAATTATTTGTATGGACTCACATCTGTCAAATTTGTCCCATACGTATTGGGAAGGTATATATCTTTGTTGAATTTGATTATTATTAATGCCATGTATACCATTGCGAACTTTTGTGATCCAAGAATTTTATGGTTTAATGAGCATATGAGCGTGCGACTGCAATCTCTTTAGAAGGTCATATACGTCTCAATATTATTGAACTAGATTTATTGCAGTTTTTGTGTACTAAGAGATGCAAACTATTTCGACTAAAGGAAAGTTTCGTAGTTAGTGCTATCTCTGGCCTGCTGATAAGTTGTAACAGCCAGATATGAGATAATGGCTTTTTTGTCTTCTTTGCTCTTGAGCTATCAGCAGTTCTCATTTTTTTGTTGTCTGTATGGTTTTTAGTTGTTTGAAAATTGGATTTATCAAGTGAGGTGATAATGATCACATTGATCTGTTATGTTCTCTCTCTCAATCACGAGGTCAAGTAATAAAGTCCCTTATAATTTCCGTGTAATTTGTTAGACAACTCTTTTCGCTGGACTTAAAAGATATTGCTAATGTGCAAGAATAAAAAAAATGTGGATATAGGGATGAGCTAGATTCATGTGCATTTGGTGGATACTACTGGGAATCCTATTCTAACCCTTCCCCATGGGTCAAATTTCTCATTACTTTGGATGCAGTTGGTTAGGAATGCTTCCAGGAACGTGGGCATATGTTAGTGCTGGTGCTTTCGGGCGAGCGATCATTGTATGTTGACCTTTTCCATCTTGTTATTAATTTTTTTTGGAACAAAATCTTGTTATTGATTGAGTGGCTGTTACTTCATATATTTTTTAGTCATTTGGTTGTTTTGCTCCAAAGAAACCTAATTCTCATAAGTAGTATGGAGAAGACCATATTATGTTTTCTTTTTCTTGGATAAGTGAGCAACACTTGTTCTGCCTACTCAAGAAACATTTGCAGGAGTACTGCCCCAACAACATGGCCAATACATGCTGATAATCAAATTTTAATTAGGGGCAATGATACTGCAAGTACTGAACTTTTGCCGTTTTACAATCGAGTACCTTAACTTTTTTTTTGTTCAATCAAGTTTCTCAACTTTCAAATTTAGCTCAATGTGAGACATCGTTTAAATAAATTGCCATGTAATGTGATTTCGCTTACGTGGCTTGCTTAGTTGACAAAATTTAAGCACAATTTTTGACGTGGCTTGCTTATTTAGCAATAATGGTGTCATCTGCATTTAGGTGTTGGGTGATTAGGGGAGAGAGAGTGCTGTCTCAAGTGGCTACATTGGATGCCAATGTAGATAGTTAATGTCTATTCAATGGCGTTAGTGTCCATGTTGGCAATTTCAGTCCGCGATTTTACAGGAGGCCTCACATTGATCCATATTTTGAAAAGTTGAGGGAGTTGATTGAACAAAAAAAATTTAGGTACTCAATTATAAAGTGGGGTACTGGCGGTGTCATTAACCCTTTTATTTACCCAATTAACACAGTTTTCTGTGCATGTCATTGCAACTTTTTCTACACAAGCTCTCATATCCTTCTAGACAAGTTGTAAAGGCAAACTTAATTCTTTTGACAACTACATCGCCACAATGAGCGCATGTATCATGCAGCACATAATTCCTAGCCTTCAAAGTATAACGAATAGCCCTATTTGAATTAACCATGCAGTAGTCTTATCTTCGGTGATAAACAATATTCTGGTGTCAAGAAGCAGCCTGTTAGTTGCATAAATTTCATCAGGACTAGTTGTATGCTCTTGTGTTGTGTAAGGAGATACTTCAATAAGTGGCATTAAAGGATGTCTAAATGTAACCTGTCGAAGTAGCTGGAAGTGTAGCACCTGTAGATTGTCTATTGCTAGAGCCTAGAGGCACTTATTTTTAGAAGGACACCTCGAAATAGTTTCCAGGGACTCACTGCTAGCAAAATAACCTCAAGACCTTGACGGTATACCCTGAAATGTTATTCTGTTTGAGATCTAGCCAAATAACTTGTCGAAGTAGCTTTTACTTCACTGTTCTTTTTGTATGTTTGAGCACGCCATATTCCTTGTATTGATGAGTTCAGATTTCAAACTTCGAGCTCTTCTGGGAAGGTGATGTAGTGATTAGAGTAAGGCTGAAGGCTTTATTTGTTAATTACCATGCGATCTTTGCAGCAAGAAGAATCCGAGATTGGTTTAGCTGGAGGAAATGGTCAGCTGCTGACCCTTGGGCTTGGACTTTTGGCCACTGCATTAGCGGCAACCTATGTGACCAAGCTTGCAAAGGTAATACCTCCACTCATGGTACACTCTTCTTCTACCCTCCGTAAGCACAACTGTTGCTTGGGGGCTTAGTGTACCCAAGTGAGCTACTTAAATGGACAAAAGAAAACGCGTAATGTTTCCACACGAATGGACTGGGTCACAATTTCAGTTGACCCGTATCACTGGCAAATACTGTGATCGTATGGGGCAATCCTTTCGTCTGTCAGCGAGAGCATTATATCATTATCATGATTGTTTCTGAGTTCCTGTTGGCGCATGTTAGATATTTGCTTCTTTCGTATATAGTAAAGTGCGGATTCTTGTTTGGCTCTGATGTACAGAGCTAAATTTGTTTAATTGGGGACTTGGAGAAACGTTAAAACTCTTTCAAGTCTCAAATGATGGCAGACAACAACTCTCTCTCTCTCTTGCGCACGCAGACGCTCGCACAAAAGCTGAGCATGCCCTTTTGCCTATGTGCTCGTGTTGATTCACGGTCATTCTTAGCATTTGTATTTGCGATGAAAAACGCATGTTCTCTTACATCACCTAATTTTTTCGCCCTGTGTTTTATTGCGGCCGTGCAGGATGCCGTGAAAGACATCGAGTGATCGCCGGTCGCTGGTCAGACCGTAGGTGGGAAACTGTAAAATTAAGGATGAACTTAGCCGCATGTAAAGATATAGCAAAGTCGCATTCTCAGTGAAATCAGAGTAGATTTCTGTTCATCCCTCCATTTTTGTTCCAACTACTAACGTGCTTCCCATTTTTGACCTTTCCTGTAATTATAAATATATAGCTAGAAAGTCCATGATGATTTTATTTCCTTGGCTCTCTCTGGTACTACATCGCACACTGCCGCTTGTAGATGCGGCACGTCGTATTGATCGGGAGTTACAAAACGACCTAGCGGTCGAGGACGGAGAACTCGTAGGTTGTCAATTTGTTTCGGACATGTCAATGACCGCCAAAAAGCCAATTAGAAGAGAATATGCTTTGTCTAGGAAACAATATAGGAAAATGAAACCTTTTGTTGTATTAGTTGTCGTTTATTTTGCGGAAAACGAATGAATTGGATTGTATTTTCATAAAAAATGATTTCTTGTATCGCTCGCAAAAATGGACGAATAAAAAATGTTTTCGTTGCCCACGAAAATATTAATGAAATAATAAAAAGTGTTTTGTATTGATTAATTATTTTAAGCGATATAAACGATTATTTTAATTGAATATCAATTTGTGCATGCGTTGTTGCATAAGAGAAGGAATTATCTGATATTGCATAAGAGAAGGGATTAAGATAATTACGAGAGAAAAGATGAGAGGGTTTGAAGGGATCGAATAATGAATTTACTAAAATGTATGATCCGATTTGGACCAATCTCTTTTGTGTCTCCCAAATCCCTCCTAATTCTTTCCATCCGTCCTTTTCCTTCCTTCCAAAACTCGGTTGTGTATTTAGAACTCTTTCTCTTCCCTCCCAACGTCTCCTAATAAAAAGTACCAGTCTCTTTTGTGTCTCCCCAAATCCTTCCTAATTCTTTTCATCCGTCTTTTCTCTTCCTCCCAAACTCGGTTGTGTAGTTAGAACTCTTTCTCTTCCCTCCCAACACAGGCATCGATTCACGCTGCACATAAGTGGGTTCTCTCCTTGTAAATAGTTCGAGCTCTTTCAACGTCGCTCGCCCGGTGTAAAATCTCATTTTCCAGACATGTAAATATCCATAATTAACAAGATATTTTGAATCCTCTACAAAACCTTAATTCGTGGTTCAATTACGCGAGCTCATGATGCTCACTACTATCAATATTATTTTCCAGGCCACCCATCGTTTAAACTGTAAAGGACATCTCTGCTATTTTTCAATTTCTCAACAATTGAGAAGAGAGAAAAAAAAACAGGGAATAAAAAAAAAGCCCAAAAAAAGAAAAAGAAAAAAAGAAAATGGGGGAAAAGAGCATATATATAAATACAAAAAATTGATTGCAACCGCCATTTTTGGGTTGCTGGGTTGTTCCTCTTCTGGTTTTGCTGCTCCCACCGAACGTTCAACTCCAACCTGTCCTCCTCCGGAGGCCTCCTTCTCCTTCTTCTTCATTCTCTCTCTCTCTCTCTCTCTTCTTTCTCTCTCTCTCTCCAAGTTCTTGCATTGGTCGAAGCATCTCGCTTCCGTGAAGGAAGCACGGTGCGTCGCCCTCACGGAACCTCCGCTCCTTGTTGCTATTCGTGCGGAGCGCGGGCGCAAGCGATTGCTTGCGTGGGGTCAACTCCCTCTTCTCCCCATTCGCGGAACGTGAACCCGCCGATTCGTGCCGCTCGGGGCCCTGCCTGCGCCTGCGGCCAGATTGAGATTTCGGGGAGCCGTTTGGGTTCGTCCGGGGACTTGCTCGATCGATTGAGGGATTTGGGGTGCGTGCTGATGTGATACGCCGGTTGCGGGTCGCGGTCTCGGGGGCGGATTCGAGTGGAAATCGGGCGGTCTCGGCGGGTGGGGCCCTGCTTCCGATGGCCGGCGGCTCCGAGGCGAAGCCCGGAGGGGAGGGGGACGGGTCCGGGATCGAGGAGGCCACGCCCGATTTGCTGAAGAACACGCCTTCGAACATCGCGAGGTTGGAGGATGTGATCGAGCATTGCGAGGGGCGGCGGAAGTACTTGGCTCGGACTCGGAGTCCCTCGGACGGCAGCGATGTCCGGTGGTATTTCTACAAGGTCCCTTTGGCCGTGAATGGTGCGGTTCTTTCTGTCCCTTCTCGTTCTCTGCTTTCGTGCATTGGTTTGGTTCATTTTGTTTCTTCCATGAGATGCTTTGTGAGAGTTAGTTGATGTTAGTCTAGGAAGCTATTTGAGTAAGCTGAAGCTTGAACAAACTGATTATAAGTTACAAAGTGGAAATGAATGGGCACTCTTTTGTGTCATTGAAGCTTCGGAAATCATGGGGAGCGTTTTTAGGCATAAGAACTATGAGACCACAGTCAATTGTTCTAAAAGCTTAAGCTGTTAGACGAAGACGTGATTTAATATTTAATTATTCTAACAAGAACGATTCATTCGAAGTAATCGTTTGGTATGACATGCTTACTTGCTTGATTTTCTTTGTACACAGTGGAACCGGAGAGTAAAACCGTATTAAAACTAACAAAATTTCAACAAGTAATTTTGACTTTACGTGGTGTTTGCTTGATTTTTTTTTATGCATTTCCCTTTCTTCGTAACTTACCAATATAAGTATAAGTATTATCAGTGAATTTATAGTATACTTGTGTCAAATTGTGGAATAAATTGAACACGTGCACTCAATGCTGGAATAGGAATACTAAATGCAAAGAAGTAATGGGTCGTGACAATAAGAAGAATAATCATTGTTGAGGACAAAACATGTATAATAAATAGTGGAATACGCCAAATACGCGTGCTCTGAATGACAGTATAAGAGTACTAGATGCAAAGAAATTAACAGGTGATGCTCTTTTGGTCATGCAATCTGGTGCAATCACTTTGGGTGCATCACCCACTTATATATATTAGTGTATTGCTTCAATTTGTAAGAGTAGGTTAGATTATTCATTGTTATTTTCCCTCTTGCTTTTATTTTTATTTTTGATTTTGCTAATAGATATCAGACTTTTAGCAATCTATCTTGATATTCTTTTCTTTAAAAATTGAAGTTGCCATGTCGGTGTATCAGGGACATTATAGATGGACTTGATTGTAAAACTTGGGTTTCTGAGAGGATTTAATTACATAAGAACCGTCGGAAAAATAAACTTGCACAAACAACACAATTCAAATTCTGTCTGGTCCCTTTTGTGGCAGAGTGGATGTATTTTACATTTTTGGGCCACATCCACTTAATGTTTAGTCTAGTCTGATCTCATGTTGTTGATGTTTCAGATGGCATCAATCAGTGTTTCTATGCTTCTTAGTTCTGACGTCGGTCAGCCTATTGCTTAACTTTGTGTACTTTCTTTTGTTTTTTATTGCAGAGTTAGCTGCCTCTGTTCCTCGCACTGAGATAGTGGGAAAGAGTGAATATCTTCGATTTGGTATGAGAGATTCTCTGGCAATAGAAGCCTCATTTTTACAGGTAATTTCTTGTGACCCCTGGTATAATTCCTCAGGATATTTTTATTCTTTCTTAGCTAATCCAGTTGGCAATAGAATACATTTTCCTACTTTGCCATCTTTCAATTACATCACGTATTTTTGTCAAATTGGTATCCAAAAGTATTTTTCTCAAAGACAGTCTGTTAAGTATAAAATTAACCGCATTAAGATGCAGGGTGGGTCTTATTGTTTTCTCCAACCATATGGGTGCCTTCTTTTTCCATAACAGACTCCTTAAATCTGTCCTTGTGATGGTGGATTCTTCTGCTGATTACTATATAACTTGTTCGACTTCTTGTCATCATTTCGATTGCCTGAAGTTTAGCTCATGTGCTTCATGCGAGAAATTCTTTCTCAGTTTGGGTACTGAGGGTTCTGTTTTTATTCGATTTCTGAATCACAGAGAGAGGACGAATTGCTATCCTGTTGGTGGAAAGAGTATGCAGAGTGTAGTGATGGTCCAAGAGCAAGGCTAATCTCAAGTAGTGAGGATCCACAGTCAAGAACATCCACCGATCTGTCAACTCAGCTATATGAAGTCGAGGAAGAGAGAGTTGGTGTTCCAGTCAAAGGAGGACTTTATGAGGTGTGTCTTGCTTTCAAGTCTTTTCGGGCTTTTATCACTTTGAACCATCTCCTCCTTGTTATTGTGAGAAAGGTCTTCTGAACTTTTAAATGACCAAGCAATTAGCACTTGAAACTAAGTTTGTTGCTCTCCTCTCTGTATCATAAATACAAGGGGCAAAAACTACTTACTTTGTGGTAAAGTTTAAAGAGATTTATTGTATTGCCCATGATGGTTGGAAAAAAGATTTGAAAATGAAGCATTTCCTCAAGAGCATGTTGCATGAGACCCTCACGACCACTACTCATGCAAGAAATCTTCTTTATTGCATTGTATCGCTTTCGCATTTTCCATCTCTATGAAGAAATCTCTGGATTTATCACGCCAGCTTATTCCTCCATGACAGCAAAATTGAATTTCTTTGCATGTGTGTTGACATGATGTGGAATTTCTGTGACACATTGTGATAGGTAGACTTGGTGAGAAGACATTGTTTTCCTGTTTATTGGGATGGTGAAAACCGACGTGTCTTACGAGGGCATTGGTTTGCTCGAAAGGGAGGGCTTGATTGGCTTCCTCTCCGTGAAGACGTCGCAGAGCAGTTAGAGTTTGCATACCGATGCCAGGTATACGAGTGCTGTTTCTTTTGCATTCTTGACTTTTTGCATTGATAAAAGATAAAATGATGTCCCTTACCAAAAAAAACAAAAGATAAAATGATGTCTTATTACTTAAATTTTATGATGTTCAGGCTTATAAGTAACTTTTACAAGAAGTTTCTATAACGGTTAGCAACAATAAGATGGGAAAAGTTCTGTACATACTTTTAGGCAAAAGAACGACAGTTTTTCTTTTGTTATAGGTTTATTGTTATGTCAGTCAAATTTGTGATTGGTTTCTCTAGGTGTGGCACAGGAGAACGTTTCAACCATCTGGATTATTTGCGGCTCGAGTTGATGTGCAAGGCTCTACCCCTGTACGAAACACTTTTCGTTAGAACTAACCTAGTATGAATACACTATATTTGAAGATCCACATTGGATGTTTTTTACTCTTTCAGTCATTCTGCCACTGTATATGTAGGGATTGCATGCTCTTTTCACTGGAGAAGATGACACTTGGGAGGCTTGGCTAAATGTTGATTCCTCTGGTTTTT